GACGGAGATGGCGGAAAAATGGCAACTTTTAGGCCTACTGATACCCTCCCTGGAAGGGTGGCGTGTTAAGGGTAATGTACTCATGATCCCCAGGAATGGGGGTATTGAAGGGTGGGTTTCCAAAAAAATCCCGGGAAATATTAGTATAATGGTGTAGGGTGGCTAATATGGCCCGGCGGGAATGGGGTAGGGGGGAGGGTAAGTCTACTTTTCCCATGCTGGGAATGGTGGAGAGGCGGATGGCAATTTTTGACATAAAAAAATGGAAACAGGCATTAATAAACAAATTTAAAAAAAAAAATCCAAGACCCCAAAACCGGGCCGGGGTTTTAAGATTGAATGTCAAATGTTCACGTTTTCAATAATTTTTAATCGTCGGGTAAGAACAGTAGTTTTATTTTTCGAGCTGCTTATTTTTTATAAAAGAACGCCTTTTTGATCCTAAAAAACGCGAGGGATGGGTGTTTTTTTTTTTAGGGGGTTTTTTTTAAAGCCTGTCGATACAAATGGGTTACAAAGGCTGATGTAACCCTTCACCATCAGAAACTTTTTTAACTCCCCTTAGAAGGATTACAGTTCCTTTCATCGGGGTGGAGGGGAAAAAAAGGGGAAGGGTGAAGAGGGGGTAGGGGGAAAGGGATGGGGGTGGGGGAAACGGGGATTTTACTACAGTGACACCTTGGAGAAAAATGTTTTAGAAAAACAAACCCTCTGGGTGCATATAATTTTTGTAGAATCAACAAGTCAAAACGAAAACGGCACTTTGGCCAGGAAACCTCATAAATTTACCCCGGAGATTCGGTCCAGGAATAAGTCCCAGAGGGAAAAAACCATTCCTCCCCTCGGCTCCATAAAGTCCAGTTTAAACCCTTTAAGAAGGCTCAGGGGAAAAAAAAAAAAGAGCACGTGGGGGTAAAATGAAGTTTCAAAAAAAGCCTAAAGGGTCAAAATTAACCTGTTCTCCTGAACAAAGAGCAGGTAAAGAAAACCCGTCCTTAAGGGATGGGCCCTGAACAGCATGGAAACATAAACTGTCTGCCCATACTTTGGGTTTTTAGTCCACTTTTGCTCTCTTTGGGGAAAATTTTACCCCGTCTGGAGGGTCCTAACCCATTCAAATTTTTAAGTAGTGGTTTTTTACTTTCGGTGACGACAAAGACTGTAACCCCATCGATTCATCATAAAAAAAAAACATGTAGTCCAGAGCCCAACTTAATAAAATTTCGGGGTTTTTAAGGGAGTCCAGCGAAAACCCCTTTTGGGCATAGCGTTTCTTTTTGATTATAATAATTTTTTAAAGGAGCCCAAAGTTTCTTCAAAATCTTTAAAATTTTTCGGCTTCCGCAGAGAACAACAATCCCAACTAATGCCAGATGTTGAGTCTTGGACACTTATTATTTTTTTTATTTTATTATTTATTTTAAAAATTTTATTTTTTATTTTTTATTATTTTTATTTTATTATAAGCAACCGTTGCAATACAGACGTAATAGGCATTTTAGTACCCAGAGCATAACTGTATATGAAAGGTATTTGAAGCATTAGTAGAAGTTATTTTGTATTTTCATATATAGTAAATTTAAAGAGCTAGAAACAAAAACATAGTAAGTAGCAGGTGTTTTTAGTAGCATTACCGGAAATTTTTAAGTAAAAATTGTAGTAGTTGTATAGTAACTAAAATTTGGTAGTAACATCAGTGTTATGGTAGAATTGTGTAGCTGTGGAGAAACGTAGTTTTTGCCCTATAAATGGTATAACCATAGTTATGGTAGTAAAAAAGTAGCTGTAGTAGAAATACAGAAATTTAGGTTTAACATAGTTGTTGTGGCAGTAACAGTGTACTATGAAAAACAGTAGTTGTTGTGGCAGTAACAGTAGTAGCTATGATAAAAACAGTTTTTCTGGTAGTAACATAGTATAGATAGTAACGTAGTTGTTGGGGTAGTAACAGTATAGCTTAAATAACAGAGTTGTTCGGGTAGTAACAGTAGTACTTGTTACCCCCAACGGGGGCCACAGGGGGGGCACCAAAAGAAAAAACCCCGGGGCCGAATCCGGAAAACCCCTTAATGAAGAATGAAGAGCTTTGATAGTAACGAATTTTTGTGGTAGTAACAGAGAAGCTATGATAGTAACGTAGTTGTTGTGGTAAAACGTAGTAGCTATTAATAACAGTAGTTGTTCTGGTAGAAACGTGGTTATGTTAGTAACAGTAGTTTTTTGTGGAGTAACAGTAGTAGCTTTGATAAAAACAGTATTTGTTGTGGTAAAAAACAGTACAGCTATGTTAGAAACAGTAGTTGTTTTGGTAGTAACAGTAGAGCTATAAATAAATGTTGTTTGGTAGTAACATAGTACTATGTTAGTAACAGAAGTTGTTGTGGTAAACAAGTAGCTATGATAGTAACATAGTTTTGTGGTATAACAGATACTATGAAATAACATAGATGTTCGGGTAGTAACGTGTAGCTGATATAACAGTAAGATAAGATAAATAAATAAAATTTCTTTGGGGATTTTTAACCCCGGGGTTAGCCCCCCGGTAACCCAAAAAAGTCAGTGCGTCATCAATGTCTAACTTATTTTTCCAAAGGGTCCCTTAATCTTGTCCCCCCGGGTGCGACCCCACCATTTGCAAAACCCCCGGGACCTATTTTGCTCAAGGGGAACGGACAACAGTGTAAGGAACGTGTCTTTTTTTCCCAACCCCCCCGGGGAAACGAACCCGGGCCCTCCCTGTTGAAGCGGGAGAATTTTTGCCACCAGGTGGGGAGTAACGTAGTAGCATATAGTAACATAGTTTTGTGGTGAACAGTAGTATTTGAAGTAACAGTAGTTGTTGTTTGGGAGTAAAAGTATAGCTATATAATAACAGTAGTTGTTTTGGTGTTTTCAGTATAGCTATGATAATAACAGTATTGTTCTGGTATAACAGTATAGCTAGATGAAAAAAATATTGTTTTTGCATAACGTAGTAGCTATGATAATAACAGAGTTTGTTCGGGGGAACGTATACTATGCTAATAACAGTAATGTTCTGGTATAACGAGTAGCTATGATAGTAACAGTAGTTGTGTGGGGTAACAGTAGTTTCTATATAGTAACAGTAGTTTTTTGTGGGGGTTTAAAAGTATTTCTATGATAATAAAAGTAGTTTTGTGGTAGTAAAAGTATTGCTATGATAGTAACGGTGCAGATAAACAGTATTTTGTGGGTAAAGTAGTGCTATGATAGAAAAAATAAAGCTATATTAACAGTAGTAGCTTTGTAGTAACATAGTTATGGTAGTAATAGTAGTAATGGTGAACATCAGTAGTTATAGTGTAAAAAATGTATTTTGGTAAAAATGAAAAGTAACAGTAGTGGCTGTGGTCGTAACAGTTGTAATGTAAATGCTCAGCAATAAAATTAGGTATACCGTAGTAATGATAGTAAAAGTATTAGTAGTTGTTAAAAAAATGTAGTAAAAAAGAGCAACAATATTGTGGAGTAACAGCTGTAAAATTTTGGTAGTAACATAATGCGTGGAAGTGTCGTTTTTAGTTGTGGGAACAAAGTATTTTAAAAAGTGGTAGCTGTAACAGTAACATAGTTATGGGACTAACAACAGTAATGATAGTAAAGTATTAGTTATGTAGCAACAAAAATTTGTTGTGATAGAACAATGTAAAATGGTAGTAACAAGTAACGGGTAGTAAAAGTGTTGTGTTTTAATGGTAGTTGTGGTTGTAACAGTAATAGTGAATAAAAGTACTGTATAACGTATACTTTAATAGTAAAAGCTGTGAAACATATGTTGTGGTAGTAAATATTTCCAGTGTATTGACTGACTCCACGTGGCATTCCCCGATTTTCCTGAGGGACTGATCACCTCCCCGAGGTGACGAACTGATCACGAAAATTTGTTTTTGGGTTTAGTATTAATCCACTCAATTCGACTGAAGAAGCCCGTTTTGCATGCAAACGTTTTGGCAAATGCATCTTATTCGATACTTTCAAAAAATGTTTTTTTGGTATCCAAATAGGCACTGCCGACAATACGAAGAAAAAACACGAGAAGGAAAAAATTTTACTGGACAAAAAGTTTTAATCTATTAAGATTTTTATCAGCCCCACAGAAGAAAATTGCGGTTTAAAAGTAAGCTGTCCCCAGAGGAAAGACTGAGGGGGTGAAATCGTGATGAATCCTGTAGTACCCACAAATCAGATTCATCCAACTCCCCCCCCCCCCCCGATTTCACTGATCTTTTAAACCCCTTCCCTCCTGCAGTATACATATAGCGTGAGACTGTGTCCTCTGTATGAATTGTGAACATCTTAACAAAGAGAAAAGCGAATTCCAAAAAACTCTTTTTGCGTCCTGTTTTTTCTTCACCGATTTTTTTTCGTTGGGAAAAATTTTGTTTCCCTTTGCGTGGAGAAAAATTTTAATTATTATAAGACATTTTTGGCAACATGATTTAGGGTTTTTTTTATGGGAAAAATAATTTGATTAAATTGCTTTATAATGTAAGTGAGTAAAAACCCTTTTTAAAAACTCTAATTTAAAATGCTTTCATACATTCAAATACACATCTTTCGTAAAAACATTTAAATAATTTGATCTTCAAGAATATTTCTTCTGAAAAATAGACATGGCTACAATTAAAAAAGAGAGAAAATGAGGCGGGCTTTTCGGGTCGGCCCCGAAAACTGGGGGTTAAGGGACTCAACAATTAGGTCATTAATGGAAGCCTTTGCGTTGTGGTAGCAAGTGGCGACAGGTGTACGATCCCTTGAGTGCTGCGGAAAAGCGCTTTTGGGGTGGTCTGTTGTCATATTTTTTTAGTGCTTCCCCTTCACATCCTCGCTGCGGGTCGGGATCACGAACTTTTAACCTCTTTTGGGCAGAATGGAAATGAGTCGATGCCTGGCTCGCTCCTCTTGTGGTGGCCGTTCCGTGACCCAAGGTCGGCCTGGGAAACCCTTGCCACTACCTCACACCGAAGGCTTTTTCCTTACTAGGATGACTTGTGGTCACGGAGGGGTCTTGTCTCCTGAAGGCCCTTTCCCAGATGGCAGGGGAAAGGTCGCCGTCCGTGTGTTTCTCTCGTGGATTAAAAGATTGTAGCTCTTGGTGAATTCTCGGTGGCAGAACTTGCAGATGTAGCGCTTCTTGGGTCGTGTTAGTCTTCCACCAGAAGACAAAAGAAACTGGTTAAAGTGATCTGCACCAGCAGTCATCGCAGCCCATGGAAAGGCACCGAATGATAGGACTCGGTAGGTGTTAAAAATATTAAAGTGAGGGTCCATATCTACACACCAGGCACTGAAGGTACAGGGGACAAGAATGGTACACTATTGTGTACACGGTTTGGCACTTGAGCTACCAGAGGACTGAACGCTGATGCACAAGGCCTGAAGCTTGTGGCACTAGTAGCCACGGTAGACTTCATCCCTGGGAAGTGAAAGTTGTGCGTGCTGGTGGGGGTCGAGGGGGGCGTGAGAACCCCTGACAGTGGGTCGCCAACTGATATCACTTCCATCGTCGCCACTTGAAAGTAAAACAAATTTTCAGTTCCTTTGTACGTGAAGTACACTGCTTAAGCCAGTTAAGATGTGTATGAAAAAAAATACACTATTTCGCAGTATTTATACCCAGCCACCGTGAGAAAGGTGATTGGTTGGGAGGCGGAGCATGGACGTGTGTGGGAGGGGCGTCAGGTGTCGGAACCTTTGTGTGTTGCCTGAGTCCAGGTGTCCAGGGCCTAGCCTAACAACTTGTCCACTTCAGAGCAATCCATGTAGATGCACAATGCATGATATATTGCAATAAAAGATTTATTATAGTAAAGGTTAAGCAGACATATTAGCAAGTGTGTGTAGAAGGATGCGACTTTGGGCTTGAACGTACGAAAGCACTGTTAGTCACTCAACAGGCTGCTGCTATTCCTTTAAGTTTCGGTACGGGTTATGATGTTAATGTAGCTTTAAGAAGATACCTAGCCTCAGAAAATAATGGCTTAGCTTATTTCGGAGCAAAGGAGGGAACGAAGAGAGGGGAGGTACGGGTAATGAGTGGAGAAGGGGGACGGGGAAACGAAACAGTGATGGGCGAGAGGGAATGGAAAGGCTCTACGAGAGGGAAGGGAAAGGGCGCAGTGGAGGAAGAGGGATGTTGAGGAGTATGGTAGAGAGGAGGAGGCTGAGATTGAAAAGTATGGTAGAGGAATATGGTTTAGGGAGAGAGGTTCTGGGGTATGAGGAGGGATACGTATGGTGTGGCAAGCAAAGAGTGTGAAGCTTGTGACCCACCTGATCTCGTCTGTCAGGTCCACAGGGAAATGAACTCGGACTGCTCCTGGAGAGCGAAACGTTGCCGCAGTAAAATGTCACATTAGTTGTATATGTACCCATTTACAAACCCTCATCTTAAAAAAAAAGACAAATAAAATTTAAAAAGTTTAGCGTTTTAGTACAACGAAGGTTGGGATACGAAGATATTTAAAGAGAGCTAATCTACCCCCTGGGACGATTTGAAACAGGGGAGACATGACACAATTAAAAGTGCTGACAAATTTAAAAAAAGGTGAGATTATTTTTTGGGCTGGAAACAAGCCACTTTTTGGACCACCCCAGCAGTTTGCCGGGTTTCCTAAAAACTTTTTTTCGTTTTATGTTTTCATTTTAATTTTTTTGTCATCGGCAAAAATGATGCCTATGTTTAGTCCCTTTCGCAGGTTTTTACTTTTTTTGAGAAAATAAAGTTTTTAGTATTGATCCTTGGGGGAACCAACTTTTACCTTTCACTTTTGAAAACTGCTGCCCTTACCCCCCACTCCTCTGTTAATTTTCATTAGGTATTTTGTCTATATCATTGCTTGCCCCTAGTTTTGAAAACCCTTTTAGCGGGATGCAGCGTAAAATGCTCTCCTATTGTTCTATAGTCGACCTGTCTTTGTCTTTCTTGCTTGATTTTCGTTATTTTCTCACAGAACTCTAGTGAGGTAGCATTTACCGTCCCTAAATCAATGCTAGTTTACTGTAAAAAAGAAAAAATACCACCTTTCCCGGTGCTCATCATCCCCTTTCTGTTATCCCCCCCCCCCCGGCCCGTGATATTGGCCTGTAATTCAGTACCTCTAGTCGGTTCCCCTGCTTGCATAATGGTCTTATGTTTGCAGTTTTCCAGCTGTCCTGTAGTTTTACCGTCTCCACATGTACTTGAGAATTGCTGAATATGGTTCACACAGTTTATCCACGCCTTTCAGTATCCATGGTAATTTGCCGACAGTGCTCATGTCTTTTAATGTATGTGTATTCACCTACTTTTGGTTGCAGGGGTCGCGTCTTAACTCCTGGCCCCGTCTCATCGCTAGTCGCTACTAGGTCCACTCTCTCCCTGCTCCAAGAGCCTTATTGTACCTCTTCTTAAAGCTATGTATGGATCCTCCTTCCACTACATAACTCTCCACATTGTTCCAATTCCTGACAACTCTAAGGTTGAAGAAATGCTTCCTAACATCTCTATGCCTCATCTGAGTATTTAACTTTCATATGTGTGTGTGTGTGTGTGTGTGTGTGTGTGTGTGTGTGTGTGTGTGTGTGTGTGTGTGTGTGTGTGTGTGCGCGCGTGTGTGTGTGTGTGTGTGTGTGTGTGTGTGTGTGTGTGTGTGTGTGGTCTGTGTGTGTGTGTGTGTGTGTGTGTGTGTGTGTGTGTGTGTGTGTGTGTGTGTGTGTGTGTGTGTATGTGTGTGTGTGTCTGTGTCTGTCTGTCTGTCTGTCTGTCTGTCTGTCTGTCTGGTCAGGTAAAGGTGAGAGGTTACCTGAGATCCACTGATCAGTGAAGGCCGCTGAGAAGAGGTTTCTCGGTACAAAAGTAACCTAATTTCCGTATCTTGGCTTTGGGGATTCACGGTGGATTTTGACATTCGGTGACTAGCTGTGTCGCGTTTTCCTTAGCGATAATAGGACATTCTGTCGGGGAGGACGGTGAGGGTGTGGGGCTAGGCATACTTGTGGTCTACTAAAGGTTGTTGAGGGCTACACGCAAACTGTTATGTTTTCGTGCATTTGTTTCGGATTTATCATGAACACATTAAGTTTTTGTGCATTTACTTCGGATTTGTTACAAACGCTATTTAAGACGGAGTTTGTTAATGATTTATTTCACTTACGAACAAACGAGATGGTCAACCCACCCAAGTCTTTTATTATTGAAAGCATAGAGAGGAAATAAATTTACCCAACTGCGTTGCTGTACCAACGAATACGCTGCGTAAATACCTCGAGTTACTCATGTCTCTTGGTCGTGTTGTTTATAAGAATGTATCTCCTATCCCTTTAATGCTATCTTTTGTTAATATAAACTTCGCGAGTTTATCATGGCTTTTGTCAGAGTTGCTTTGTATTGTCCGAGATAATCGAAAAATTCCTCTCTTTCAAGTACGTCTTGTAGAGGAAAATGGGACCACTTGAGGTCAACAAAAATGTCGAAATCAGCCATAGAGGAGCCCATAGAAGCCACAATTAGACTTCTTTTCACCTCAAAGTGGCTACGAGTGTGACCCTGACGTCAAGCCTCTCCAGGGTCATTGTCAGACACCCGCTGGTCAGGTGGTCACTTCTGCCTCCTTCCCATGTTGGTGAGGAGACCAGCGTGTGGGTGACCAGTGTGTGTGGGTGGTGACCTGTGTGGGTGGTGACCTGTGTGTGGGTGTTGACCGGTGTGTGGGTGGTGACCGGTGTGTGGGTTGTGGTGACCTGTGTGTGGGCGGTAGTGACCGGTATGTGGTGGTGGTGACCGGTATGTGGGTGGTGGTGACCGGTATGTGGGTGGTGGTGGCCAGTGTGTGGGTGGTGGTGACCAGTGTGTGGGTGGTGGTGACCAGTGTGTGGGTGGTGGTGACCGGTATGTGGTGGTGGTGACGGGTATGTGGGTGAAGGTGACCAGTGTGGGTAGTGGTGACCGGTGTGTGGGTGGTGGTGACCGGTGTGTGGGTGGTGATGACCAGTGTGTGGGTGGTGACCGGTGTGTGGGTGGTGGTGACCGGTGTGTGGGTGGTGGTGACCAGTGTGTGGGTGGTGACCGGTGTGTGGGTGGTGATGACCGGTGTGTGGGTGGTGATGACCGGTGTGTGGGTGCTGGTGACCAGTGTGTGGGTGGTGGTGACCGGTGTGTAGGTGGTGATCAATGTGAATGGTCTCCCGTTAGTGATTAGTCTCCCAGTGGTGGCTGGTCTGCTCATCTCAAATCTGCTGCAAAAGAATGCATATGATCCTATCATCGTATTGTCTCATTGAAGCATCAGGTGCTGTGTCTCCCTGAAGCATTAGGTACTGAGTGTCCCCCTGAAAAGTATCCCTGAGACACAGGAATACCTTTCTCGAATCGTTTAGGTAGAGGGGCGCTGAATGTAGGTACGGGGGATACCTACCTCACAGCGGCCGAAACAAATCTAGATTATATTTTCTCTGGGAAGCGCCAAACCAGTAGGGGTTCTATAGAGCGTGGAAATGTGAAACTTTCAGATATGATGAAAGGGAGTGTAGAGTAGTTCCAAGTCCCTGGATCATGAGCCTTTCACTTTCCCGCCCATGACCTTCATAAATGTTGACACTGGTGATTCGTAATGCGTTCATCGTTGTCTCGAGTCAGTCAAAGCAACCCTCCCCTTCCTTGGATCAAACCTAATTACTTCCCAGTTCCCCCAGGCGCTGCATGACTCACACGGGTTTAACGCTTCCTCCAGTACATGTCATGAGTATTTGAACACGTGCCGTTATAATAAATCAAGTCAATCAGATCACGTTTGTCTGGTGTGAAGCCTCGGTACGAGGCTGCTGAGCTGCTGCAGTAGAATTATTATTATAATCAAAACTAAGCGCTAAACCCACAAGGATCATACAGCTGCCACAGTAGAATTATTATTGTAAACATAACTAAGCGCTAAACCCACAAGGATCATACAGCTGCCACAGTAGAAGCCTCTCCAGCTTACAAGATGCAACCATTATTTTATTATTCACATAAAGAAATTCAACATATTTGAATTTTTACATTATAGGCAAATTGAACAATTCAGTTTAACAATAAGAATCTTCTTTAAACAAAAGAGTTAGTATTTGCCTGGACGGAGGAAAGGTGAAGCTTCGAATCTTATGGCGACTGTTTCGTTCAGATCAAATCAAGTGAACTTTTCCTGGCTGGGAAATTCAAGGTTGCCAACTTAGCGCTTTTCTCGACAGATTTAGCGTGTTTTGTTGTTTAGCGAGCAGTTTTTAGCTTGAATTTGGAGGACTAAGCGATGGTGTAATATGATGGAAATTAGTCTTTGTTCATTGCTGAACATTGTTCATTACAAGTAGTTGACCACTGAAGTGAACTCTGCAAAGAACATTTTGCTCAGGACAAAATATAATGCAGTTATTTACAATGTACTTTGCACTATATTTTAAGTGATGGCATGAACGCTGATACTGGAAATAGCAAATTCAGCTTTTTTAGCAGATGAAGGCAATGATATTTCTATAACTAAATTATCAAGTATAGCTGTTAGGCATTATTCTAAGAGAAAGAAATTGCGGTTACTTATTTAGATCTAGTTGAACTATGTGACTTCACTGCTAATGCAAAATGCGAGGCTTTAAGGAATCCTTGACACAAAATGAATTTGAATTACAAAAGCTTATTGCACTAGGCACTGATAATACT